TCGAATACCTAGGAACTGTAGGTCTTGCGATGGTACTAGGTCCGACTTGCGTAAGTTTACTAACCAACCTAGTTGTGTTAGTAGCTTTATGATGTAATTTAACTGTAGTTTGAGACGCAGTGGATCTTGATCTACTTGTATCCACGTCGTCGAGGTAAAGCGCTCGTAGCCCTTGGCGATGTAGAAATTTGATAATCGGTTTACGTTATCCTCGTGAATAGCCAGGGGCTGATGATATTCGAATGGGAGTACTTTCCACTGGTAATGTAGCCCTTCTAGAGTAAATCGTAGGTATTTCCTGGAATCGGGATGAATGGGGATGTGCAAGTAGGCATCCTGTAGATCTATGCTGCCCATGTAGTCCATAGGACGAATCATCTGGCGTAACTGAGGTAAAATGTATCATCTGCGAAACCCGGTGGTTTCGTAGATAGTTCTTGTTGAAAAGCTCATGTTGTAGATGAGTCTGTATTTCTCCGTGGAGTTTTTCTTGGGAACTAGGAAAACTGGGGAGTAGAAACCTGGTTCGACGTTTGCTTGATCTATTACTTCTATGGCCTGTTTGGATAGGAGTGATGAGACAGCCTCTTTTATCTTTGGTAGTTGTTGCGCATGCGTCGAACTTGGGGGTTTGATTGTCAGGGAGGCTTGTCCTGTAGAGGGATCACGAAATCCGTGTTGAATAATGTTGGAGGCGTAAGGATCTTGCAGTATTCCCCAGTTTTCCCAGTGTAGTTGGAAGTCCACCCACTTGAGCTGGTTGTACTGGAGCGGCTGGGGGTGGAAGACTCCAGTGGTTCGAACCTGTGTTTCAGCGTCTATAATTGCGGGAACCTCTGGGTGTCCTGCCTCTTCCTGATCCTCCTCTATAGTTGCCATATGGGCGAAAGAATCTTACCTCTAGAGCTGGCTATCTTCCTGTCTCTTGCTCTTTGTAGGCCCGTGAACTTAGATCTGCCTGAGTATCTTTGTGAAGTCTGACGAATGGCTGGCTAGTGTGTCCATCGATCTAATCATAAGGACTTCCCTGGAATCCTTAGAGACTTCCTTGGCGACCTTGTCGATTTCTCCGTCAAAGATGGATGTTGTCGACCAGGGGCTGTATAAAAGTGGGGCTGTAAAGTTCTCCCCAATTACAGGAGGCGAGGAGGCCTTGACGGACGAGCTAAGGTCAGTGCTGCTGAAACAGATGTAAGATGATCCGTTAAAACTGCTGATCTTTCTTTTGCATAAGTAAGGCAGAATAAATCATTCTATCATCTTCCGTCGTGGAATCCGGAATCTAGTAATAAGAGTCTCATTGATGGAGTCCTAGATCTATTTAACCCAAAGAACATCGTCTAGGTCATGGTTTCTATATGAGCCAACTTGCGATCATCCATCTTGTAAATCTTGTTCTTTACATGGCTGATGATCTTATAGTTCTCATCGATGTCCTGGGCCTTGTAGAAGGAGTCCATGTTATCGTGGAGAACTTCTTGGCTTGAAAGTTGGGTAGATGTGGTATCTGAACTTTCGTAGCTTTCTGGAAAGCTGCATCTAGATTCTGTGGCACTGCATTGTCCGGATCGATCGGGGTAGAGTGATTGCATCTGGATCATCTTCCTTCATCAAATCGTCTGAGCTGTATTGCCACTTTTAGATGGTGATGTGAGATCTAGGTTATTGACCATCAATACCGTATCTCTGCATCAGAAAATATGATTCCTCCATCATCCTCAAAACCATCATCATTAATAAATTGTAGATGCTCTTAGGGACTGCGTGTAGCTATCTGAATATCTGATGAGGTTTGTGGCGATCTAGTTGACTTGTCGCGCTCTATGTGGAGATCTGATGGGTGATCGACCTGGTGATGAGCAGTGGAGATCGTCTATGGGATGATCTTCGGAGACTTGTGAGGTGAATGTTGATAGCTTGCGAAGCTCTTGGCAGTCCCTCGATGTTCTTCTAGGCGATGAAGATCTGGAATCATATGTCTTTTCGAAATGCCTTGCGAAGCTTCATTTCGCGTCGGTCGAGGATCGATGATATGACCTTCGCGAAGGCTTCCGTGATGTCTGATGGTCTGAGTCCATATCTAGAGATGAAATCGAAGATGGTGATGATCTCTCCGCCTTAGCGAAGGCCTTAGCGAAGAGCTGTACATCTAGGTCGCCGTCAAGGTGGTGCGGGACTTCCTTAGCGAAGGTGACATCGTCTTGGCTGCTACGTTGGCGGGGGTGCCTCTGGGGTGCTGTCACGTTGGAGCCTTCAGCGAAACTCGGACCCTGCTTGCGCGGTTTGTAGTGGTCCTCCATGATGTTCATAATCTGCGCATCATGTCTTCTGGGATGATCTGTGGCGAAGTCGTCGGCGTCTTTTCTGCGATGGGGTTCACATCAATGGCGTCTGGCGATGGGTGTAGAAGGCATCAGGCTGCATGGAGATCTCTGCAGAAGTCACAGTCGCTGACACGGTCGCTTCTTCTGCGTAAATTCGGGGATGATTATCGGCTGATCATCGTAGAGGCCCAACTCTGCTGCTGGAGCGATCTCGGCTGAGAAAGTTCTTGCTGTCTTCGTGGAATTTCCCTTTGGAAGTCTAAGCTGCCCTGGAGTGTCCTCAATCTGCGTTGAGGCGGCGATGAGGCCCTCTTAGACTTAGTCTGCAATGGCGGGATGTCTGGGGAGGCGGTCGTTTCTTCGAGTAACGGACTGCGTCCCGTTCCTCTGCGCGGGGGTCTCTAGCAGAACACCAGGCGGAGAGAGTCGATCGCTAGCAGCTGACTGGAAGGAATATCTGGACTCTCTGCCATGTTTTGCCCTTGTTTTGCGTGATCTATCTGCAGCCGCGTCTTAAAGGCGCTAAAGATGATATTTATTAAATGCAGAATGAGATAAATTAATGCAGTAACTGCAAAAGCGTGAATTAAGCATACCACATTAGAACAACTAGGGCATATTACATGTGGATCGGAGGCAGAAAAGCGTAATCTACAAATCGTGCAGATTTTCATGAGCGTAAAGCTAGCTGAACAATCACGAATACCGTGAATAAACAGTAGAAATACGATAATTAATCAATACAAATAGTAAAGGATACTAGCTATACCTCTATAGTAACCTATGAGAGGTAAAAACTAAGAGATTATCAAAGGATATGTGTGTAAGGAGACACAAGGCGCTCTCACATCCTGCTCACTGGGCGAAGAAGGAGAGAGTGGAGCACATGGCCAGAGGGTGGCGACACCTTTTCCCGCCAGGGGAGACAAAGGGGAGCAACTCGTGGTGAGTACCAATTAGTGATTTTATTTTGAAGGGAGCTTCAAATAAGGAGATACAAGTGTTCCACTATGTTCGCAAGAAGAAGAAGACAAGCAAAAGAGCATGAGTCAGGATAAGGAAAAATATGACATATCGCCGATCTGTTCTGATACGCCATTGATGCTTGTGATGCTTGAGTGTTATAGTTCTAAAACTTCTTTCTTTCTTGTTGATCTTAGTATGTGACAAAACTGGAAACGCTTTGTGATAGTTCTAAACTTTCTGTTTTTGAGGGGTCTGTGACAGTGTCAGTTAACTTTCTGTCAATGCCCATGTCATTCCACACATGCAATAAGATATCTGAATTAGTTACTAATGTAAAAAAATGTCTCAAAATAGATTTTTTTTTAAAAGGACAGCTGATGTAAACACATGTGTTCTACCGATAGTTTTGCGTTCTTTAACATGTTTGGGGAGGGATGGCCCTGGTGTATCATTTATTCTTTCATTCATTCACATATGTTCTTTTTCTTTTGTTCTTTTTCATTATTTCTTTCATTAATTCACATATAATTCTTGCTCTTAATTCATTCATTCATTCATTGTAAAATTCCGACTGATACAATAAACTGGCTGAAGTACTGTTAAACGCAGCCGAAGTTGCGCTGGGAACGAACCAAGTCACTGCATGCGTTGGAGCATGACGAGGCACACGTTAATTAGTACAAATGGTAAAGAAAGCCAGCGAGTGACCTATCCCTGTTGTAGAGTATCCCTGATACAATAAAACAAGGACGACAAGAAAGGAGCAGTATCTTTTGTATTATATGCAATTTGCCTGAAGATCCCCGGTTAAAATTGATCCTCAGTAACCCATGCTATGGGATCGGGGGTTCAGACTCACTGACTTGGTTGACACATGGCATCGTATCCGAATTGCGTTGATCGATGCTCATGCATTTGATCACTTGATTGTCTGGTCCAGACTCGATTATTTACAGACCGCCGTCATATATAGCTGGAATATTTCTGAATGACTCGTAAACCTAAACTCACTCACTGAAAGAGTAAGGGCCGTCGCTGTTTTCAGTACATCAAATTCATTGAGGCAAAAATAATGTTGAAGGGGTCGTTGTGGGCACAGGTACTACAGATATGTAGCACAGGTACGTTTCTGTGTACAGACATGTACCCTTAACAATGACAAACTACAGAAACGTACCCGGTACCCTAAACGACGGACGAGTCCATATTCCGCAACCCAAAACCGAAACCGTATGTAGTTGTTCCCGTTCAGCTTATTCCGAGTGGTGTACGTTGTGCACCGTGACATATTCGTTACTGTGTATGCTCTTATATAACGATATCAAATGCATCTAATACAACAGTATGACCGTTCCGATGAAGAAAACTCCACAATGCAGAATGGAATCGTCCAAGGGTACATTTCTGTATACAGAAACGTACCTGGGGTAGAGTAGTACCCGTGTCGAACGACCCCTTCAGCAAAAAAATACATACACGTAATTCTTGTATAACGGGGTACATAACCGTACATACATATTTACGCCCATATACGAATTTTGCAATATACAAAGTTTTGGTAAGCAAATACGAGAATTCAAGGGGATCTCCCTGGTTTACAAAGAGGCACTCTAGTCTAGGTGGTCCGCATTTCAATTTGTTGGATGGCAGACGCTAAGTCTCCCGTTAAGTTTGATTTCTGACCTCTATATGTGGATTTCCAAAATTTACCTTCGTCGAACAATTAAATTGTAGATGTCTTGTCATATCTCTTTTCATCACTTTCTGACATGCTTTTGTAAGATTTCAAATCATATCTTGTCCTTTTCTGAAGGGAATTCCATGTGCCAAGTCAAAGGTAGATAACTCTATTCAGAGAATGCCTATTTGTTAGCCGGTAAAAAGGAAAAGGAAAAGCTGTTGAATTTGCGTGAGGAGATATACTGGCGAAATGTTCAGTATCGTATAACAACGAGCATGCATGTGTATATGATGTCATAAAATCGATGACAAAAAATAATTCCTCACTCTTCCCATAATTTTTAAGCGTAAGTTATATTATGTATAATTTTTGCCCACCCCAGTACATGTTTATAAAATCGATGACAACCACCCCTCCCCTCCCCAGAACAAAATCGGTGACCCCACTTAAAATCATCATCACCCCCCTAGTCATAAATTATGTACGGTCCCTAATGATGAAACCCGTGTCCACATTTTTTCGGACTAGTGAATTCTATTGAGGGCAAGTAACTAGCCTGACTGTCTAGCAAAATATGGAACCACTAGTTCGCACACTGGTACTAATGCAGTCATGGATGCCCAACTGACACATATACCATGTACACTGATCTGGGCCCGCCCAGTCCTTGCTTAATCCATGTAATGCCAACCACCAGGCACGGTAACAACAAGTACAGCGGAAGCCCTCTAAACCGGTAGCCCTCCAATCCGGCATGCTCTCAATACCGGCACTAGAATTTGGTCCCGACAGAAGCTAGTTAATTTATGATCATTTACACGCCCTCTAATCCAGCGTCAGTCTATTCCGTATTTCGGCACAGCAAAGACCGCTCGATTGACTGTTTGTACAGTAGTTTACGCTCTCTAAATCGGCATCCGGTATCTCGGACTATTTCTGGTCCTATTTTGAAAGAGAAATCTTTTCAGTTTGCTTCAGAATTATATGTCAACGAGTTTAAGGCATCAATGGTTGGCTGGCACGTTGGAAGAGTTCAAACAGTTCAATGTGAGCGGCGAAAGTGTCAGTGTAGGTCATAGTGTTGTTGACAAGAATATGGTGACCATCAACACGTTGTTCAGTCGCATTTTACGACACACGGAAGATCATTCTCAGTATGAAAAGGGAAAAGTTCTCTAAGCCGGCACGCCCCCTATACCGGTATCATATTTAATAATAAAGAAGAGTCCATCAAAGTCATGTGAATTAGATCCGATCCCAACATGGATCTTACAATCTGCATTGGACTCTATCTCACCTACGTTAGTGGCCATGTTCAATACATCGCACGCTGCATCTGAAGTACCAAGCACATTCAAAATAGCTCTTATTCGTCCATTTATCAAGAAAACTTCACTTGATCCAAATGACATTAGAAATTATAGGCCGGTGTCTAACCTACCATTTCTATCAAAGGTACTTGAGAAGATTGTAGCAATCCAAATCAAAGAACATCTGGAAAAAAACAACCTGATGGAAGAGTTCTCGTCTGCCTATAGAGAACACCACAGTACAGAAACAGCACTCCTTCGTGTGCAAAATGACATCCTTTCTCATCTCGACAATCAGAGAGTAGTACTTCTTGTTCTACTAGACCTGTCAGCAGCCTTCGATACAATAGACCACAGTATCCTTCTGTCTCGACTTGAGAAGACTGTTGGTATCACCGGACCAGCATTGATGTGGCTTGAGTCATATCTAAAAAACAGAACTCAGTCAGTGAAAGTGGGTGAGGCCGTGTCAGAAGAAAGGTGGTTATCATATGGCGTTCCACAGGGTTCAGTCCTTGGACCACTCTTGTTTACCATCTATATGTTGCCACTAGGTGATGCTTTCCGGAACCACTGCATTGACTTTCAGTGCTTTGCAGATGACACCCAGAACTGTATCGCCTCCAGGATTGTATCACTTCAGGACAAGTTAACGAAGCTGGAAAGCTGCATCAGTGACATCAGAACTTGGATGAGAATGAACTTTCTCAAACTAAATGACAACAAAACGGAAGTATTCATTGCTTGGCCAAAGCACTTACAGGAACGTATGACAAATTCTCAGTCAATATTGGACCTGTGAATGTGCCTGCCTCTTCCCAAGTGAAGAATCTAGGAGTTGTTTTGACTCCCACATGACCATGAACAAGCAGGTCACCCAAATGTGCCAGTCTTCTCACTATCATCTTCATCAGATTGGTAAACTAAGACGATATCTTTCAGATGAAACCGCCAAAACTCTCACTCAAGCAACAGTCATATCTCGCCTTGACTATGCCAATTCACTTTTGTTTGGGATAACAGCTTCCCTGGTTCATCGACTCCAGGTTATACAAAACACAGCCGCCAGGATAATAACTCGTTGTCCTCGAAGAGACCACATCACCCCAGGTTAAAGAGAACTGCATTGGCTACCCGTTGCCAGACGCATAAAATTCAAGGTGCTTACCATTATCTACAAGTGCCTGAAGACCAACACTGCTCCATCTTACTTGTCATCTCTTCTAAACAACCATAGACCAACAAGAACTCTTAGATCACAAGATAAAGATCTGCTTATCACCAGACCATCCAGGACCAAATACGGGGACCGCTGCTTTGAATGTGCAGCTCCCATGCTATGGAACAACCTCCCTATGTCGCTAAAATCCGCCCCAAGTCTACCAACTTTTCGAAAACATTTAAAGACACATCTATTTGAAATGAAATAGACTGATATGCACAAGCGCCTGTGAGCAGCCTAGCTGGAACTCGGCGCTATAGAAGTAGATTTTATTATTATTATTATTATTATATTTGGAGGTCTGAAAGTATGACCTGAATAGGGGATCGAACCACCCCATGGCAAGCTGTTTTCACATTTATTAAGAAATTAAAAATATCGATAATGTTTTAAAATTATCTGTAAATAATTGAAGATATCTTTAATTAGTTTCTGATATCTTAAAATGTTAGTGAGATATCAAGAACATATTTCGAGATATCTCTAAATGTGTTTCAGATATCACTAAAACAATATCAATCATAGTGTACATAGGTGTATTAGGATTAATTCAAGATATCTTCAATTCAATTCAAGATATATTTAGAACAATTTAAGATATCAGTAATTTCTCAATACACAATCTCTATTGGAGATATCTTTAATTGTTTTTTGAAGATATCTTTAATTCAATTCAGTTGGAGATACCTTCCGTTCAATTTAAGATACACGCATCTTTAAAACAATTAAACATATTAGTAATTTCTCAATACATCATCTCTATTTGAGATATGTTTAATTCATTTCAAGATATCTCCAATTCTTTTCAAGATATCATTAATATGCTTCATCATCTCCGCAATTTATTTCGCGATATCATGAATTTGATTGCAGATATCTATAATTATCTCCATTTGAGATATTTTTAATTCATTACAAGATATTTTCAATTCAAGACATCTTCAATTCAATTCAAGATGTCTCTATTTTCACTTAAGATATCTTTAAAACAATTTAATACATCAGTATTTTTTATAAATGTGAAAACGGCTTGTCATACCACCGCACCTTATCCACTAGACCATACAGGCGAACTGACATCGAACACACTCACTCACTCACACATCCATACATTACGTACGTACATGCGTGCATACAGCATACCTAACGTTTTGTACAATCTATAAATACAGAAACATTAACGTGGTCCAAATTAGCGAAGGTACTCCTCAAACATACAAACATTGTCCGTATCTAGAATGCTTGTATTCAGGGGGCGGTGGGGTAGCCTAGTGGGTAAAGCGTTCGCTCGTCAAGCCGAAGACCCGGGTTCGATTCCCCACATGGGTACAATGTGTGAAGCCCATTTCTGGTGTCCCCCGCCGTGATATTGCTGAAATATTGCTAAAAGCAAACTCAGTCAGTCTTGTATTTAGTCAATAATAGCTGGTTCTGGTTTTGAAACAAACCTACATTGCAGTCAGATCACTTTGGGTACGATGTCATTAATGGCCACGACCACTTCTCTACTCTCGACTTTTCAGCAAAGATGTATGCTAACAATCGAGAGAGTGAGTATGGTTTTACGCCGCCCTTTTCCACCAATTTTACGGCGGGAGACACCAGAAATGGGCTTCACACATTGTACCCATATGGGCAATCGAACCCGTCTTGAGCGTGACGGGCGGACGCTTTAACCTTTAGGCTACACAGCCGCCCCTGTCAACAATCGAAAGATCCAAATGCCAGCGCTCAATCAAAAAGTGATAATTCAAAACAAGGCTGAGTTGACAGTTTTAGTAGAGATTGGAGAATTGAGTAACAGACTGGCGGCCAGGCTCCACCACTATATCCCTCAATACCAGGCTGTAGTTGAAGGCAACTCGAGCCGACATTGTCTCACCAGCTGTCGACAGAAACCTCGCCGACTTTATTCTTGTGTGAAATGAAATATTTTTCAGTGTTTTTCTCTTCATTACATATACATCTATTGTTTGTCAGAATGGTTAGTTACATATCTCATATTAACAATAGATTAAATATGATTTGAATACATATGACCACATTATATGTTTTATGATAATCTCCAGATCAATTCTAATTAATCCACACTACACGGACGGACCAGCAATCTAAACTCCTAAAAAAATTCATTTTGGCTTTGAATAATAATAACAAACCATTATTGAGTATGTACAGTTACGTACTTTAGAATACAGGGAATATAAACGATGTTCCCAAGCGAAAGTGTCGCTTTTCTGGTTTACTATGGCGGTGGTTAAAGCGTTCGCTCGTCACGCCGAAGACCCGGACTCGATCTCCCACATGGGTACAACGTGTGAAGCCCATTTCTGGTGTCGCCGTGATATTGCTGGAATATTGCAAAAAGCGGCGTAAAACAAAACTCACTCACTATATGGTTAACCTTACCAGTAATCATATGCTTGCATATTTTAATATGGAAATAATACTCTTAGTTATTGGGGATGAATAAGCTGTCGGCCATAAGGACCTGTAGAAAACAAAAGCTGTGGGTTTTCAGTGGTTTTCAGTCGGCTTCGGGCCTAAGGACCGACGTTAATTTTGAAGGCTGTATGGTTCCTTAGACGATACACTACTACTTGGATAACTGTGGTAAT